GCTGGGACATGCAAAAGAATGAATCTGGACCCTTACTTCACACCATACACAGAAATTAACTACAAATAGATCAAAGATACATATAAGAGCTAAAGTTATAAAATTCTTAGAAGAAAATATAGATACACATCTTTGTGACCTTGCACTTGGCAACAGAGTCTTACATAGGACACCAAAAGTAAGAGCAACAGAAGAAAAAGATATATAGTGGCTTCATTAAAAATAAAACTTTTGTGCTTCAAAGGGCACTATCAAGAAAAAGAAAAGACAACCCACAGAACAGGAGAAAATATTTTCAAGTTGATGTGGTGCAGTGCCTAAGGCATTTGACTGCTAACCAGAAGGTTGGAGGTTCAAACCCAGCAGCTGCTCTGTGGGTGGAAGATGGGGCAATCTACTTCCGTAAAGATTTACTGCTTTGGAAACCCAATGGGACTATGAGAGTGAAATTGACTCGATGGTAGTAGGTTTGGTTTTGTGGTTTATATCTGATAAGGGATTCCATCTAGAATTTATAAAGAACTATTACAATTGAATAATAAAAATACAACACAATTTAAAAGGGGCAAAAGATCTGAATACGCATTTCTTCAAAGAAGATATACAAATAACCAACAAACACATGAAAAGATGCTCAACATTATCAATCATTAAGGAAATGCAAATCAAAATCACAATGGGATACTACTTCACATCCACTAGAATGGCTATAATCAAAAAGTCAGATGATAACAAGTGTTACTGAGCATGAGGAAAAATCAGTACCCTCATACACTACTGGTGGGATTGTAAAATGGTGCAACCACTTTGGAAAATGGTCTGACAATTTCTCAAAAAGTTAAACATACAGTTACCATTTGACTCAGCAATTCCATTCCTAGAAATATACCCAATAGCAATGAAAACATATGTCTACACAAAACCTTGTACATGAACATTCATAGCTGTATTATACACAATAGTCAAAAGGTGGAAACAACCCAAATGTCCATCCACTGATGGACTATATAGAAGATTGAATTACTGATACACGCTACAACATGGACGAACCTTGAAAACATTATGCTAAGTGAGAGAAGCTAGTACCAAAAGACCACATATTACATGATTCCATTTATATGAAATGTCAAGAATAGTCAAATACATAGATACAAAGTAGATTAGTGGTTGCCTAGGGCTGGGGAAAATGGGGTGTTGGGGGTGATAGCTAAAGAGTACAGGAATTCTTTTTCAGGTGATGAAAATGTTCTATAAATGTGGTAATGGGTACACAACTCTGTGAATATACTAAAAACAATAGAATTATATGATTTAAATGGGTGGATTGTATAACATGTGAATTATATCTCAATAACTTCGTCACAAAAAAAGTATTCCACTTTAAAATATGATATATATTAAAGTCTTACATAATATTTAATTTGAAACAGGTTTCTACATTACTGAGCCCCTACTGTATACAGAAGCTTGGGCTGGCACAGGGGTCAGACAGTGAGGGGTAAAGGGATGAATCTAGCTAAGCACCTGCCCCTGGAGCTTGTAGTCAGGTGAGAAGTGGAACATCCAATGAAATGCCAGCTTGCCAAAATTCTAAGCATCTTACCAGGTGGGTGCATTTTTCCTGCTAGCATTTATTGAGTGCTTACTTAGTACCAAGGTGGCATAGTATATAAAGCATTTGGCTGCTAACCAGAAAGCCAGAGGTTCAAATCTACCAGCTGCTTCACAGAAGGAAGATGGGGCAATCTACTTCTGTAAAGATTTACAGCCTCGGGAACCCAGTGGGGGTCGTTATGAGTCAGATTTGACTCCATGGCAGTGAATTGATTACCAGGCTCTGTGCTAAACACTTTCTATGCATGATCTCACTGAATCCTCACAGCCCTATGTGTTAGTGCTCACATTCATTTCATTTTATAGCTGATCAAGCTAATGTTGGAGCCTCTGTCTTCCCCTTCCTATGAAAAGTAGAAGAAGTCTGCTTGCAGGAGTTCTGGATAGATTTGTCTTCTATGATGGAGCCTAGAGAGGGCTTCAGCCTGGGGTTTCCCAGACAGCCCAAGGAGACAAAGGTCTCAGGCTGGACTGGCATGAATGCTCACGCACCAAAGAGAGGCCCCAAGACCTGAGTTCTCATACAAGTTCTGCCCACTCCTCAGCACTTCACCTCTCTGAGACTCGCTTTTTCAATTGTAAAATGGGTTGATACTCCTACTTCTGCCATAGAGTTAAGAGCCCTACATGAGACAAGACTAGTGAAAGAACCAGACTCAGCACTGAACTGAAAAGTCTGCTGCACAGAAGCCAGAGACGCTATGTCCTCATATTTGAGTGGGTCCAGCCCTGTTTGGAGAGGTCAGTGCACACATACACACTCGCAAACACACACCCTTTCTATCTCCTGCCTCTGGCTCTCCATCCTTGCCTTTGGATACTGTCACAGTGTGGGAGACACTGCCACCCTTCTCCCCTCAACCTCGACAATTCCACTCAAGTTTTTCTTTTCCAGAAAGCAGCTTTCCCAGACTGCCAGCCCAGAGTGAGGAGGACTCCTCAGAGCTCTGGGCCCTTGCTGGTGTCTAAGGGTTACCTATATGCCTGGGCTACAAACCCAGCCCCTCCACTGACTAGCTCCATGAGACTGGGCCATTGCCTTACTCACTCAAAGCATCTAGTTCAATATCTATAAAATAAGGCTATTGTTGTTGTTGTTGTTATGTGCCGTCGAGTCAGCCCTGACTCGTAGCGACCCCTCCTTGGGTTTCCGAGGCAGTATCACTACGGAAGTAGGATTGCCCAACCTTCCTTCCGAGGAGTGGCTGGTGGGTTTGAACCGCCAGCCTTCTGGTTAGCAGTCAAGTGCCTTAGCCACTATGCTACCAGAGCTCCCAAAAATAAGGCTATAAGAGCACTTAATACATGGGGTAGTTGTAAGGATTTAATGAAATGATGCTTGGAAAGCACTTAGACTGTCTCCTTCTTGTTAACTGTTAGCTGCTGTCAGTTCAGCCCTTCCTGACCACACACATAATAGGATCAGACTTTTGTGATCCACAGCATTTTCATTGGCTGATTTTCAGCAGTAGTTCACAAACCCTTTCTTTCTAGTCCATCTTAGTCTGGAAGCTCCTCTGAAACCTGTGCAGTGTCACTTAAGCCTCTACTGACAGGCGGGTGGTGGCTGCCCATGAGGGGTAGTGGGCAGGAATCGAACCCAGGTCTCCTGCATGGAAAGGAGTTCTAACACTGTACCAACACTGCCTCTGTGTCTCCTCCTTAAATGGGGCTAACCTATGCTCCGCTCACTTCACAGGCTGGAGGTAGGAGTTCTTGATTTATTGTGAATGATTGTGTGGACACCCTATGCTGGGTACTTGGCTAGGGAGAGCCTGAGGGGCTGCTGAGTGGGTGAGTCATGGCCAGATCCTTAGTTGCCTGTTTGCCCTCGTTCTACCCAGAGAACCCCTGGGGATGGAGCCCTCACCCTCTGCTGAGATCTCCCTAAGCAAGGGCCCCTTGCTTACTCCGTATACAGAGGGGTAGGCAGAGCCCCCTGGAGGCATGGCATCTAGAAGATAGCCACCAGCGAGTCAGCTCTCTCATATCCAAGGTCCTAAGTGGGTTTCTCTGGGCAGGGGCTGGGTGAGGTCCAGATCCCAAGAGCACATAAATCACCTGAGGATCTCACTAAATGCAGGTCTGAGGTGGGGCCTGAGAGCTTGAACTTCTAACAAGCTCCCAGGTATTGCTATGCAGCTCTCCCTGGGCCACACTTTAAGGAGCAAAGACCTAAAGCATGACATGGCCTTTTCTGAGAAGAGAGTTCAGGAACGTCACGGGTAACAAATGCATCTAGGTCTCCCACGGGTCCGGGAAGGCCCCCAGACCCACTCAACCACACCCTCAGCATCTAACATCTGGAGGGTATACTACACAGATTTTCAGAATTTCCATGATTCCAATTCTACTATATATAGAAAGTGAAATTAGTACCATATTTTGAACAATTTAGGAGCTCTGGTAGCGTAGCGCCTAAGGCATTTGACTGCTAACCAGAAGGCTGGCGGTTCAAACCCACCAGCCACTCCTCGGAAGGGTGATCTACTTCCATTGAGATATTCCCTCAGAAACCCAAGGAAGGATTGCTATGAATCAGATTCGGACTCCCTAACAGTGAGGTTTTTTTTGTTTTGTTTTGTTTTTAATGAACAACTTGGAAGATGTGAAAAAAATAATAGGAAGAAAATCACTGATAATCTCACTACCATATCAAAACAACTGTTACCCTTTCTCTTCAGGATTCCAAAGCTATGCCTGCCAGTGAGTAGGGGGTCCTCCCATGAATGAGATCTGCCCCAGTATCCTGTCCTGTCATGCGGAAGCATTGAGTAAGAGCCTGGAGCTGCTCCAACACCCTTCATCTCCTGGCTTCCTTTCCACCCCAAGGGAGTGATGTCCAGCCCACAGTGTCCGAGGTCTTCACCTAGACCTCTCCTGGGGTGCAAAGTTGAGGGCAGGATCCCCTCCCCTCCTCCTTCACAGGCCCCTAAGGAGGAGGCTGCTGCTACAGGGGTCTGGGGGAGGGGGAACACATCTGGTTTCCTGGCCCTAAGCCTGCATTCCTTCCCTGTGAGTGTGAGAAGATGGGGCCTCGGGAGAGCAGTGAGGAGGCTGCTGGCCCCCCATCCTGCCGCTGGAACAGGACTCACCCTGGCAGGAAGACTGCTGGGGACTTGAAGGCCCAGAACCTCAATTTGGGGTCTAGAACGCTCCCACTCAGATTGCTGGCTCACCAGCATGGGCCCGGCTGGATCTCTGTCCTGTTTACATCAGCCAGTCTTACCTCAGAAATACCAGAAGGGACAAGAAGGTAAAGACCCGAAAGTCACTTGAGGAAGGGTTCTGAGGAGGGAGGTTCCACTCTGCCTGCCCTACCCACAGAAGCAGGTCCATAGGTCATAAGGGAACCTAAAAGCCCTGCCTGGCTAGGACTGCCTTACCTGGGGGCAATCCTTGATGTAGTGTCCTTTGTTGAAGCAGAGGTGGCACAGGTAGTTGGGCGGGGGTCGCTTGCTGGGCTTGCGTGCCTCAGAGGTGAGGGTCAGGTCAGAGAAGTGCTCGGTGAGGGAGTTAAGGCCATCAGCGATGTTGTTGAGGGAGCCGTAGGGTGAGGCACTCTTGTACACACTGCTGCTCAGCGCCTGGGGAGACAGAGGCCGTGAGAGCTCCAGAAGGCTGGCCATTTCCATGGGCCCATAGACACACACACATATGAAACCATGCTGAGCCTTCAACTGCCCATGAGCTCTGCCTCCAACAGCCCAAGTTCAAATCCTAACTCTAACTGCGTGTCCATGGGCAAGCCATGGGCTTGGTTTTCCATAAGGAAGGCTGAAACAAGGTTATGGGTGTAAAGCACTTTATCTTATATCTGGTGATGATGAAGATTATGGCAATGATGCCATTATTATTATCAGTATTTCCTTACACATTGCCACGAAGTAGGAAGGCTTACTAGAAAGTAACCTGTTAGACTTGAGCTGTGCCACTTGTAGTGTGGTTTTAGGCAGAAGTCACTGATCTCTGAGTTAACTCAGTTTTCCCATCTTGTGAGGGACGGGAATACCATTTCAACATTGTTTCTATTTTACAGGAGAAAAAAACTGAGTCCAGCCCTCAGCCTGGTCCCAGGGAGACACAATGGCTCTCCTGCAGTATGAGGCCTGTGCAGTGCGTCCACGGAGTCCTCAGCCCAGCCAAGACCACCTCTCTGGGAGCCTGCCGAATGAAGCAGCCCACCTCTCCCTCCTCTTCCACCTCCAGATGACAGGAACCAGACGTTTCGCCTAGCTTCAAAGCAGACGAGGCCCAGGCCCCCTCCTGGTGTATATAGCCTCTATTTATAGGAGGGGGCCGGGCACACTGGAATTCAGTGAAGGTGGGGCCTGTCGTGAAGCTTGCAGAGGCCAAGGCCAAGGCTAGAAAGAGGCTGCTTCCCCCAGGCATCATTCCCTGACCCAGCCCAGGGCCCCAAAACTCCAGGATTGAACCATTGACTTGGGGGATCCCTGAATCTGATAACAGAGATAAAGCCTTACTCTGGAGTCTTCAGGCTGATGGGGAACAGAGCCCCTGTAAGAAAGGGTCTCAGGCTTCCTTAAATAGATAGAGCAGATGGGGGCTCAGGCAGTCATTGTTCTGTTCATTGTGGGAAGAGGAGGGAGGGAGAAAGGCAGGCTGGCCCCAGGGCATCAGAGACCCTGTCCAGGACAGAGCCTCCCTACTCAGTCCTGATGTGGGATCTGCCACTCCCCTCCCAGAGAACAACACAGCTCTCATCGCTGGATGCCACCGCTGTCTCTGCATCCGAACAGCATGCTGTTGTGTGACCCTGAGCCAGCCCTTTTCCTCTCTGGGCCACTGTTCCCTCCTGTGTACAGAGAGAAATGTGCCCCGGAGCTTGGGATCTGAAAGTCACCACATACGTGCACCCCAGGCTCAACACAGAGATGGCCTACCGTGATTAGGGGATGGAATTTGGCACCCAATGACCATCTCTGCTCTCCCACTACCCAGTCCTTTTTAGGATATTGGGAACCATTAAACACAGGACTAGTGAAAGAGACCTCACAAACTGTTCAGTCTCCAGCTCTCAGCTAAGCCCAAGAAGGAGTGGTCCCCTATCCCTGACGAGTACAAGCCCATCATGGGGGCTCTTACAGGCTGGCAGAGAGTTCAGATGGAAATTGGATTAGATACTAACATATACTGAGTACATACCATGTTCCAGGCACTGGAAACTTTACTAAGATAGCTGATTCTCCCCACAACCCTCTGAGTCATGGTTCCCATGCTGGTGGTCTTTACCCCTGGCTATGTTGTTGTTGTTGTTGTTGTTTGCTATCTAGTCGGCCCCGACTCATAGCGACCCCTCCTTGGGTTTCCGAGGCAGTATCACTACGGAAGTAGGAATGCCCAACCTTCCTTCCGAGGAGTGGCTGGTGGGTTTGAACCGCCAGCCTTCTGGTTAGCAGTCAAGTGCCTTAGCCACTATGCTACCAGAGCTCCTACCCCTGGCTATACAAGTATACAAATTTGTATTAATAATCTGGGAACTCTTCAGCAAATCCTTTTCTAGACCCCACCTCACACCCACCAAAGCAGGCACCTGAGACTGAGGACCAGGAATCTGCATTTAGAGCTCTCCTAGGTGGTTCAGATACAGCCAGCCCAGCCCACAGACTTGGGAACCCCTGAACTTTCCAACGGTAAAGTTTCTCCTTATCTTACCTCCATGACTCTTGCCAAACCAGCAGGCCCCCTCCCCACTGAATGAAACTGGTCTGAGGGAGGGCAGCATCACCCTCACCACCCGGATAAAAGTTCATCCAAACAAGACACTTGAAGCTCCAAATGGTGTGTGTGACTCACCCTCATGGCTGGGAAATGCAATTTCACAAATAACAACCCTTTTTTTTTTTTTCTTTCTTTTTTTTTTTTTCCTGGATAAGATTTAAGTAAGTCCACAGGAATCAGGTCTGTTTTGGCAGCAAATTGTCAAGAGGAAGGGGAAGTTTGGTGGGTGCCAGAAAGTGCACTAATTACACCCTGAAAAGTCTCTCCCCCCATCTTGCAGCCATGCTCCCTGCCCACGAGAGCCCCACGGGTATCCCTGGGCTGCTTAAGATCTCAGAGCAGGCTGCCTTCTCCCTGCAGTTCAACGCCCCCACCTACCGTGTCACAAGGGATACAGCTTTGCCCTGTCCCACTGGCAGCTCCATGGACACAGAGAAAGGAAGCCAGAGCTCCCACCTCCACTGCCTCCCCACCTCCAGTGCCCCTGGCCTGCCCTTAATGGCTTCTCCCCTTCCCTTGCCCCACCCCCAATTCAAGACAGACACCACCTTAAAGCTGAAAGGACAGAGAGTGTTCAGCTGATTCAACCCCATTTCGTGATACACATGGGGAAACTGAGGCTCTAGACCCAGAGCCTGGGCACACAGCCAGGCCTAAGGGCCATCAGTCCTGCTGACTGGGTATGAGCAAAGGGTGGGTGGGGCTGTAAGCTGTTTCCTCTCCCAAGGCCCAGAGTTGCTCAGGCTATGGAGGTGAAAGGCGAGTAGGGACTGCACTGAACAGAGCAGATCCCAGGACATAAGAGCTCCCTCCTCTCCAGCCACAGAGCTAGGACCTGGCCTCTCAGATTCCTCTCTGGAAAATGGAGGGGAGGAAGAGAGCAAACTTGATGATGACCCTGGTCCTACTTTCTTAAAGTTCAGACACCCAGGTATACCCAGCATCCATAGGGTACTTTATAAAGGTGGACATCATCTGTGAAAGTCCTTCCATCTATAGCTAGTGGACAAAGCACATAGGTTCCCTCTCAATGGCCAGCCATGACTCGGCCACAGCCCAGCCACTGCTCCAGGCATCTCCATGGAACATCTCCTTTGGCTGAGCACTTGCTGCCCTTTCTCCTGAAATGTCTTTCTCTCTGTCCATCCAATCCACCTTTAGGACCTTGTCTAGATCTGTCTTTAACTCCAGTTGTGTGGCCTTGGACATACTCCTTCCCCTTCCTCAAGGCTGCAGGCTCCAAGGAATAGGTGAGAAAAGTACCAGTTCAGGTGTTCTCAGAGGCCCCACTAGACAAAAAGGCTCTAGCCTTCTCCAGGGGCCTCCCTGACCTCTGCTGCTCTGTTGTTGCTGTTGTTGTTATTTGCCATCGAGTCGGCCCCTAGCTAGGTGTAAAGACCACCACATGGCCCAACCTGTCATGGTCTGAGAGGCTCTGAAGTCTCTCCTGAATTTCTTTGCACAGTGTCTCCGACAAGAGTGCACACACCTGCAGGCAAAGATTCAGCTACTCTACAGAGCCCAGAGTGTTTGTACTGCTCCTTAAATCCACTCCTGTCCTGGACAAAGACACTTACAAGCAGGAAAAGGTCTGGAGCCCCATCTAACAGATGTGGTAGGGATGCCCTGACACCCTGAAGGATTCAGGTTGGGCCTCAGGGTTCCATGGACCAAGACAGAGGGAGCTCCTACCCGAGACAAAGCTCCTCTGGGTGCTGACTGATCAAAGGCAGCCCCACTCTTGTGGTGGGTGGGCAGCCCCTGGGCCATCTCTAGGCCCAAATCATCAGCCTCAGACAAGAGACCACCCCTCCTTCCTCCGCCAGAAGGAAGCATGGGATCTCTCATGCCGCATCTGGAATACTGAGTGTCAAACTCCTACCCATTGCTGGAACTTCTCCAAGGTTCTCACTTGGTTACTAGGGGAAAGTTAGATGGAAGACACTAAAGCTACTATGTGATATGCTTTACTAGATCCCTTCTCTTCCTTAGTTCCCTGACACCTGGCAAGAACACTATTAAGATGAGCATTATAGGCCCCATTTTATAGAGCTGGAAACTGAGGCCCACAGCGGTTGAGTAAGACACAGTCAGTGTGTGTTACTATGAGATTCACATCCAGGCTTATTAGCCTGTTATATTTCAGTCCCCACATGGCCCCCAAGACTTGGCTTCCCCTACAGAAAAGGGAGCCAGAAGAAAATGCCAGGTGTGGACCACTCTCCTTGGCACAGGGCTCCTCAGCTTGGCAAGAGGAAGTGTCAGCTTCTCTAAACTGTGTGAAGGGTGGGACACAAAGATTGGGGGTTCTACTGAGAAATTTGGGACGCGGAGGCAGAAATTTCCATGACTGACTCCACTTGTCCCAAAGCAAGCCATGCTCCTCCCCTCCACCCCTTTTCCCTGCCCCAGGACAGTAAGAGGGGGCAGGCAGGAGTTGAGGATGGTGGCAGAAACTTCCGAGGGCAGCCCAGAGGGAGAAAAGACTGGGGCAGGGAAGAGGCAGAGGCAAAAAACAGAAACAAAAACAGAAACAAAGGCAGACGCAGGAGCAGCAGGCATAGAAGGGGAGCAGCACCTGCAGGTAAAGGTCACGGGTCTTGGGCGAGGCAATGGAGACAGCAGGCAAGTCACTGTGCCCTGAAGGAAGAACTCTCTGATTTTAGTCCCCTGAGGGGATGTCTTTTCATCACCTAAACACCTGCTTTCTTATCCCAAAAAGTCTAAGACACTTGACTGCTAACCAGAAGGCTGGCGGTTCAAACCCACCAGCCACTCCTCGGAAGGAAGATGGGGCGATCTACTTCCATAGTGATACTGCCTCGGAAACCCAAGGAGGGGTCAC